TTAAGAGTCACGTTTTTTCCTGTTTCAGGAGTATTTTTTCTAGCTGTTTCTGAAAGATTTGAATCAAAAGCGCAAGCAAGCCGTAACGGTTAGAGGATGGCACGTCCGGGACTACCTCCATTTTGTCGATGCTCGGTCCCGAGCACGTGGCGGTTTGAGCAACGGTCTTCGCAGACTCTGTCTAAAGACAAAGAGTTTCTCGGAGAGACCTTCCTCGCCATAATTTCTTTTAACTGCGAGGTACTAATTTTAGTTTTGTGATTCATATCTGACTTAATCAGCCGATCCGCTGACACGTTAATGAGTTTAATTACTTTATTTCGATGCGTGTAATTTGACGGACTTACTGCTCGAGACTCAGACGCGTCCGACTCGCATGGAGAGAAGTACCCCGTCTCGGCATCCCGATCGTGAATAGATTGATTTGAAGCAATTGATTCTGTATCAAAGTGCTTTACCTGAGCGCTGCTTAGGACTTCCAAGGCCTTCAGACCGGCAGACGAGGGCTCTTCCAGCCTCCTCTCCTCCTCCTCGAGACCCCCCCCGGGTCGAAATGGTTAAGGTTTTTCCTAAGTTTGCAAAATCAAGCTCGTTTATGAGCCGAGACTCCAAGAATAGGTCTTTTGAGACTACGGCTAGCCTCAATTGGCTTTTTGAAGTCAGCCGATTTATCGGCCACTTCGAAATATACTAATGTTAGAACCAACTATGAAAGTAAAAGTTAAAAAGGCACTCCTGGTCACAATGTAGCAAAAAACTCTGTGAAAAAGAGCTGTGGTGTAGCGCCCTTTTATACATAAATGAGGCCCTTTCCCGGGGTGGGGGATGACCATATTTGGACATATTCTAGAACCTTCCACGCTAGCCTCGCCCCGTGACTCACCTACACGAGGGATGCGTATGTGAACAGTAACGAACGTTCTGGTAACGTGCAGGGCCGTTACTTAATTAGATTTTGAGATGTTCAATTCAAAAAGTTACTAATTTTTGGTAAGTAAGAACGGGAAGCACAACAGGAAGTCCTGTTACGATAGAGCCACTTGAAATAAATACGTATGGTCTGAATTGAGAACAGCAGGACATTGTTATTGTAAAAAAGTCTTATCCTTTGGACCTGCCGCTCGCAACCCCAGATGTGAGAAAACGGCTTGCCCTTCAACAACTGAACCAAGTACAGCAGGTAGTTTTTATTACTGCGTGGCGGCCGGGATTTCGGAAGGAAATGTTTTTGTCAAATAAAACTTTCCTGCCGATTTCCTAGGTAGGCGCGAAGACGCCCAAGCGGTCGGGTAATAAAACCCTCGGCTGTCTGCAAGTAAAAAAGCGCATGGCCAACGTACCGAGAACATCCCTTTTCCTCGGCTTGCGATTTCGATAAAGAGACAAAAGGCGTCTCGTCGAGGGCAGCGGCTTAAAAACGCAAGGAAAAATCAGTAAGCACTGCACCTTCGAAGCGAGTACACGGAAGAGCTCACTCGAAGCAGTTAATGAAGCGAGTCTAAACATCGTATCATTTAGATTCGTGCTATAGTTCTCAATAAATTGTTTAACCGTTGCTAGTTTGAGTACTGATCATTTTACGTATTTTCCCACGTCACACTATTCCCAAAACTGTTTTCCTCTACGTTTTCAGTGTGACTGAATGTTGTTCAATCTCGCACTTATTAATTATTTAAACTTTCAATGCACATAAGTGAAGCAATGTATGAAAGTGTGTAGAGTTTAAAGAATAATAAAATTGAAATATGAAAAAAATAGTAAAATAAATAACGTTCCATCGAAGAATACCAACTTAAGTTGTGTGGAATATTGAAATGTTTTTCTCTCCGAAGATTATCTCCCGAGATATATGCGAATAATCGATTTTGCTATTTATTTTAAAAAAGTATTGAGTGCTGTACCA